GGAAGAAGGCTGTGAAGCTATGTAGGCTAGGTAGCAGCACCATCATCATGACCACCACATGCACAACCACATCTACGATAACCAGTGCCACAGTCCCTCGTTCGGTGGCCTTGCAGGCAGGCAGGGAACCAACATTTCCAGAGGAGCCAAAAGAACAGCCGCTCCTCTTCCTAGAGGAATCTGCGAAGTTACTGATTTCTGAAGATCCCCAGTCTGATTTGGAACCAGTAACAGCAGGGCAGGCTTCACAGCCACCACCACCCCGTCCCCAGAGTAATCTGTTCCCTCCTCCCAGACCAGCAGCAGCCATGGGACACAGAGTTCTTCCCAGGCCAGCAGTCAGGGACAGGCAGTGGGTCCTTATTTGGGCAAACATGGCAGAGGGGCCACATGGGATCATTTCACGGTGCATAGTGATGACCCATGGCTGGCATGCTGCAATTGAGGTGGTCCGGAGGGGGTCAGACCACAGGCATTTGTCCTCCACCACCCTCCACCAACATCTGGAGAGGCACCACCCAAGGCTTCTGTCCAGGGAAGACACTTCGTCTGTGCCTTCTGGGAGAGGGAAAAGAGCAGCTCCAGGAGAGTCAGAAGGGAGGCAGGAGGAGGTGCCTCCTTTCAAAAGGGCAGCCACAGGGGTTTCTGCGGCCACTTCGTTCCACGAAGTGGCACCCGTTGGGTCCGCCATGACCCTCAGCTGGTGGTCAAAGGGCAAGACCCAGCAGGTGGCCACTTGTCTTGTTACCGAGATGATTGCCCTGCTTGGACTTCCACTGTCCATCATGGAATCCCAAGCCTTACGCCGGTTGCTGCATTTTTTTGCCCCCTAGTACGACCTCCCCTCATGGAGAACTCTCAGTTCTAGAGCGCTACCCTCGCTCTATGACTCTGTGAGGGAAGAAGTCCGTGACCATTTTTCATGGCTACAGGGAAGCAAGGTGCACTTCACAGTGGACCTGTGGAGCAGAGGTCAGCACGACTACCTCTCACTCACAGCCCACTGGTGGCTGCCAGAGGACTTGAGTAGTGGCAGGGCATCGGCAAAAGACCCCCAGGCTACAGGTCCATTCTACTGCAGGGGCGGCACAGGGAAGCTCAGGCGATGGGGAGGAACATCGCCAATGAGTTCCTGTGCGTGCTGCAGGAGTGGGCACCGGAGGGGGGAGGTGACCCATGGCCACATGGTCACAGATGCTGGGCGGAACATGTTGGCAGCATTGAATGCAGCGGGCTGTGAGGGCATTGTATGCATGGCACACAGATTACACCTTGTGGTGTGCGGTGCCCTTGGCCTGGACAGCCACGTCAAGCCCTAGTGGAATGCAGGCACCTGGGAGATGCAGGCACTCTGATGTTGCTGATGAAGACCAGAGTCTGTTCTGCTGCCTTTTCCCTCAGTGCCCCAATGGGGCCCAAAAGCCTGCTTTCCGGCTGCCAACTATCTCAGTGTGCGATGCAGCCAAAAAAGCCTGCTTTCCTGCTGCCTTTTCCCTCAGTGCCTGATGGGGTAGCACATGCCACTTTGCTGCTGCCATGTGCCTCAGTGCCTGATTGGGGAACACACTCTACGTTGTTGCTTCCAACTTACCTCAGTGCCCCAATGTGGCCCAAAGGCCTGCTTTCCAGCTGCCAACTACCTCAGTGCCTGACAGACAGCCATTACTAGTACCTTACCACCAAGGTGGTGCCTATTTATTCACTTGCAGTTCCATGCTTTCAAACGAGTTCTGGCTCAGTACCCCAACCTGACCTGACCTGTCGGGGCATGGAAGCGTCAACCAAGCTGGTCCCAGCTCCGTCCAAAGCCTGTCCAGGCATCGCCCCATCACATGGCTTGAGACTGCAAAGTTTATTTTGTGCCAACAACCACTACCATCCCTTTTCTTCATCAGTAACAAAACAAACAACAAAATTGCATTGCTTCAGACTGCAGAGCTGATCATTTGGTTTTCCAAAGCTGTCCTCCTGGCTTCCCTGTGCGAAGAGGGCTGGGCCAACCCAAGCCCTTCCAGGTAGTCAAAACAGCATACTTGACTAAATAATTAATTCTTTGTGTTTCATATGCCACCCTGATGGCAAATACCACCCTCTTTCTGATTGATGTTGAAGATTTCTGCCATTACACACCCAATGGGCAAAGTCTACTTTTCTGCCAATTGCCTCGGTGCCCGATGCCTATTAAGACATGCTTTCCTGCCTACTTTGGAGCCAACTACCTCAGTGCCTGATGCGGCAACACACTCTACGTTGCTGCCAACTTCCTTGGTGCTCGATGGGGCAAGACATGGTACTTTGCTGGTGCCCACTACCGCAGCACCCGATGGGGCAACACACTCTGCTTTCAGTCCCATACACAAACTACCCAAACAAGTTAGCTCAGCTCACCAGTGGCCCCGTGGATTAACCGCTGTAGTAGCAGCACAGCCGGGCTCTCCCCCATCCAAGCCTGTCCAAGCGTCACCCCTTGCCCCATCGCGCAGCTTCAGATTGCAGACCTAATCTCATTTTTCAACCCATGCCAAGACAGCCAGCCTTTCCAAGCCCTCCAAAACCTCTGAGGGCTATCTTGGTTGGTAACACACAGTTGGCAACACTTTGCCAACACTTTGTTGGCAACACAGTATACGTTGCTGCTGCCAACTTCCTCATGTGGCGAGCATGACTAGGCACAGAACGCCGACGCCATTAGTAGTACCTTCCCAATGAGGTGGAGCAATTCACCTACTAATAAGTGTTGCTTGCCTCCTTTTGTTTTCAGAAACAAACAACACACTTCTATGGTCACCTTTTGCTAATCCCCATCCAGGCCTGTCCAGGCATCCCCGTGCCAAAAGGGCCAGGCTGAGCCCCACTCAAGCCTGTCCAGACATCACCCCATCACACAGCTTCAGTTTGCAGTCCTGATCAGGCTCCAAAAGCCTCGTGACCTGATGGGGCAGGACACGCTACTTTATTGCTGCCAACTACCTCAGTGCCCAATGCGGCTAAATAAGCCTGCTCTCCTGCTGCCTTTTCCTTCAGTGCCTGATGGGGCCAAAAGAGCCTGTTTTCCTGCTGCCATGTGCCTCAGTGCCCGACGGAGCCAAAAAGCCTGCTGTGCTGCCAAATACCTCCTTTCCTCCCATCATCCTGAGGGCAAACTCTACTTCACTGGCAAATGTAATGTTGTGCTGAGCTGAAGACAAACTCCATACCTCATGCATGCCTCTGCCAAAGGGACCTGTCATTCTGCTGGAGCTAAATATAACTACCTCAATGCCGTGGGCACAGCTTCTGTGCCGTGTGGTAAACTCTCCTGGAGGGACCCAATTTGTGGGTGAACAACTTGGAGTTCCAATATCCAATCTTCACCAAAGTTGGCAGGCATGTTGGGAAAAGACATAGGAAGCTCCATTGTGATTGTGGATTCTTTAAGTAACTGGGGGGAGCTTTCCTGGGGGGTTCTTCTTTGTGACTATATAACTTGGGGTTCCGTGATCCTATGTCCACCAAACTTTCAGGAATTGTACAAAGGTGTCTGAGGAAGCTTCCCTGCAAATTTGGTGTCTCTAAATCATCAGGGGCCAATGTTATAGCCATTTAAAGTGCAAACCAATTGATTTGTTGAAGAATATTCATATATTCGTATTCGTTGATCTGTTAACCTTGATGAACAATGGATCAAAACAAATTTGATTTGTCCATTGTCCCCATCTCTAATCAGCACCAGTAGTCCAGTTATTGCTGGACACAGCTCCCACACCAGGATGGATCCTGCAAGTGTGTGTGTGTCTGTGTGTGTCTGTGTGTGTGTACACGAGGATGCTTGTAATAGGATTCATTTCCCCTCCCCACAATACATGGGTTTTTTCAGATTTCCTTTGGTAAGGCAGTGTATTTAAATATTCTCAGATTACCAGTAGTTCTTCCATGTGTTTTGTTGCTGTGCCATCAAGTCAGAACTGACTTACAGTGACCCTAATAGGACTTTCAAGGTAAGTGAGATATGTAAGGAGTGTTTTTTTTTTCAGTTCTGCTCCCCATTGAGTTTCCATGGCTGAGTAGGGATTTGAATCTGGGTCTCCCGGGTCCTAGTCTGTCACTGTATTCACTACACCACACTGGATACCCCAGTTGTAAGTCTAGCCATTGCACATCCTGGAAATAATAGCTGTTCATGCAGTTGTTTTCTTAGAAGAGTAGGTTCCCTTCTTTCGTTGGGTCTTACCTGTTAACACTCTCTCATCTTCCACAGAGAGTGAGAAGTTCCAGGGGCAGCACTGCTTGGTTTAGCTTCCTTTGGATTAAGAGAGAACTGTAAACTTATAATGTCATTGCATTGTTTGCTTTGTTTACAAATATGCAGACCTTATGTCAAGGCAGACAAGCACTTGTGCATCAGCCTGTCCCCAGAAGATAGTATTCACCCCACAGTCTAAGATGTTTTGCCTTTAACCAACACATAGCTTCCTCTTTCCCCTCTATCTTATAAAAAATTAACAATGGGCAAAATCTTGTTGGAGTAAAGTAGTGCTGGGATAAACTGGATCCAGTGCTGGAAATACTTAATGTAACTAATTAAAAGTTTCCTATTCCCTCCCCCGTTCCAGGCTTCCAGACTTTCTATGGCTTCCTTTTTCCCTGGGGAAGCCTTTGGGAAACCTGGAATGGGAGGAAGCCTTTAATAATTAAAAAAAACACATGGTGCCATATCACCACTGGCAGTCCTGATCTTGCCAGCAGCTATCTGACAGTTACAGTTGGCTATTAAAGGATTCTCTAACCGTCCTCTCCAGAGACTCTCAAAGGCTTCCTCAAGAGCCCTAGGGAGCCTCAGAAACTGAAAAAAGAGGAATGAAGCTTTTATTTAGTTTATATTAATTGTTTTCTGGTGCCTTGTCCATTTTATGCTGGCATAATTTAGTGCAACAGGATTTTGTCCAACGTTTCTCTTCTCATTTTGTTTTTGAAATGTACTTTTATAATCAGTCAAACAAATTAAACATATATTTACACATTTACTCATTACACAGATACTTCACCGGCAGTACCAGCAGGTAGGGATTCCATGTTTTCACTGACTCTGTTGATCAGTTATACACCATTGATTTTTTTTAACTATTTTGTATCAGTGACTTCCATCTGTCTAAACAGAATATATACTTTGCATTTTTCTCTGTACTCCTGGCAGCTCATGGAGAATATGTGGGACTCCAAGATGTTGTTGTTTGCAACTCCCATCATTCCAACACTGACTCTTATTGCCCAACCTATTAGGAGCTGCAATCCAGTAACATCTGAAAGGGCACACATTTCCAATTTCTAGCTCAACTATTTCCAACCATATCAATTTTTTCTGATTAGTTATATTCTCATAGTTCTTGATACATCTTCAATAGTTTTGCAAGCACTATTATATATAAAACTAGTTCTGGCTATTCTTACGCAATTAAATGAACACAGCACTTGGTTCATTTCCAAGATGTAATGAGAATGTTCATTTATTATCCCTTTCATTGAATTTTAGTGCTTACTTACACCTTCCACTACATACGAGGAAAACGTGTTCTGTATCTTGATGAGCCCACTATTTCGCTCATCCTTTCTACATTGCTGGTGTTTCTAAGCTGTTAACTATCATGATAAGCTGCTGTATCTCACAGACAATCTTGATTCATGTTCCTGCCATAGGAAAGCATGTTCTAGTCAGAGGATCATCAACACCCATTAGGAAATGTACATTATTTCATCAAATCTGAAAATATGAGGAAAAACCTATGAAATCACAGAAATCAAGAAGAAAGGCTCACAAAGCTACATAAAGTTGTAATATGTTAAATGTTATCCATATTAATACTTTTGTTTTTATGTCTGACTGCAAAGAATAAACTCACAACTGTCTGGATATATGTGGCAAAATGAAGCCATAGTTTTGAAACTGTCTAAAGGTCCTATATACAGCACCTTACATGTGAATCATCGTCAGCAAATGGTACCAACAGTTTTAATTTTCTTTATTGGACAGGTTGCATCGCCAACAGATACAAGCAATTTTGATAGCTTCCCTGAGGACAATGATGAACCACCACCTGATGACAACTCAGGATGGGATATAGACTTTTAATGTATTTCTCTACCTGCTTCTGCCTTGCTGAAGACAGCTTCCTAAGACATGGCTGCCAGCAGACCTGAAGGAATTGGGAAGGATTAGTGCTCGGGGTCACCATGATGCCTTGATTGATGCTGCTACAGTAACTACAGTGGCATTAGGACTTCTTGCTTAGATGATAATAGTGCTCTTCACATGTTTTCTGTTTGAACTTAACATAGCAGTTGACATGGTGGTCCTGAAGCAAAGCCTTTTTCATCGGTAATTAAATGTGTTTTCTATCACTGTAATGAACTTGCTATGCTCCCGTTGTAATTTGAAAGTTGGTAGAATACGATGCACATCGTTCTAACAGCAAGACCATTTTCTTTACTGCTAATTCTATTCTAGAGTGTTAAGTACTGTAGCTTATTCTACCCAGTAGAGGCTACAGTATGGAAACTGGGGTACTCCCCAACTGCAAAATGAGCGTATTGAGCCTTTTAAAGTAGGCCAACATATTAAACCAAGGAGGACCATTGAGCTAGATCAAGGAGCTCGTGTCAAAGCAATGCTACATGTTGTCTTTCTTTTTAGGCCGTATTCATGACAAGAATGAATGTTACCTTCTTCCATTTTTTTAAAAAAAATTCTGATGTGCTTTTACCCCTTCAACTGAAAACAAAAGCACAACTGCTACAGTTTCTGTTGAACTGTTAAAGCAAGTCTGGGTCGGCCAGTTCTCACATGTACCTGAGAACAAGATTTATCTAACATTTAATTTTGTTGGTACAGCTACATAAGAGCATGTAGAAAGTTATTTGTAAAACTATTCATTTTACACATATATATTAATGATATGTAAAGAAAAAAATATGTTTGTCAAAAAGGTCCTAGATAGGAAATGACAGCAGCCAACTGGTCTAATAGGCATTAACACTGAGTTTAAAAAATAATATTTATCTTTCAAAGCCCAATGAGGGAACATGCAAGATTCACTGCATATTATATAGGTGCTATGTACATTTTTCATCTGCAACATAATCATACATCCAATGTCATTTTTCAGGAAAAAATGTAGCAAGAGATATTGTCAACTAAAATCCAAATGCACACCTCCTCTCTCTCTCTCTCTCTCTCTCTCACACACACACACACAAACACACACTCCTTCACAGCATTGCTGCCATTTTGTTTTTCTTCTTTTTTACAGACCCTCTTCATAACATTGTTATCTGACTATAAATTTCTTTCAAAAATTAAGTATATCAACTCTCTCTGTAAAAGTGTCAATCAACTTAAAATAAGGGGTGCAATGTAAGTGAGACTTAGCCCTTCAAAATCCCAGTTCATTGCAAAGGGAAAATTAAGCACATGCTTAAATATACCCTATTGAAATCAATGGTCCACTGTTGGTAAACCATACCCATTAGGCATGTGTCTTCCAACATACTGTTTGCACTACTTTGACAATAATAGATCATAAAAATGTGAAGCAATGGCAGCAATCTCAGTGAAGGGTTCCATACCTACCATCAACTGCCCATTTCCAATATAGTTACACCTTACACAAACTATAAAAAATAACCATATTGTATATATTAAATCTTTTTATTAGCTCAACAAAAATACCAAACAACCCATGCTTCCAATATGTTGTCACATAATATTCAATGCCACTGACAGTGATCCCATCTGTCTAGTCCTTCATCATTCTCATTATGTTCAAAAACATGATTACTAAAAAGTCACAACCTTCTCATTCTTTTGAACCCAACAAAAGCAAGTTTCATCCCTAGTTTTCCCCTTTACAATTTAGACCTATTGAATTCAAAGTTCTCCTGGCTTCTGCTTCCTTGCTATTTGTTTGGCCTCTTCCAGTATCTGAGCTTTTAATGGGTGGAATCCAGAGTTAGGGTGTGATTAGATAGAGATATAACTTGTGTTTTGGACGATTTGCGGCACAGTCCAGCCCAAGCTGCTTTCTGGCGATCAGAGGATATACAAGAAATCATGAAGTAGCCCAACACTGCTCTGTGCCCGGTCCAGATCCAGATCTCCTCTTTTTTGGAGCTGGGCTGAAGAGATTCCTATATGCATGGAAAAGTCGTTTCAAGGGAGATCACTGCTAGCAAAGGGATCTTTTTCAGGATGGTCATCCCCAATTCTATATTGCTGCCAGATCACACCCATAGTTGCACATAGGTGACAATCCTCTAATACTTACCTGAGAATAAGTCCCATAGAACCCAATGTGGTTTAATGCGAGATAGTCATTTGTACCTGTAGTTCCGAACCTTGGGTCCTCAGATGTTCTTGTCGACAACTCCCAGAAATCTGCTTCTAGTGCTGAAGACTTCTGGGTAGTTAGTCTAATAACATCTGGAGATCCAAGGTTGGGGACCACTGATGTATACAACTGGGTTATAAGGGAGGTTTGAAATCAGTGGGAAGTAAGTCATGATTGACTTATGTTGGTTTCACAACATTACACAACAGTCCTAATCATACTTAAGCAGAATTAACCCTATGTTCACTGGAGTTTATTCCAAGAAACTATATATACCCTCAGTCTAGTTAGCTACTTTTTAAAATTGACTTTTTGTTTTTTGTTTGTGTGTGTGTGTTTTGTTTTTGTTTTGTTGTTGTTGTTATTGTTGTTGTTCCCAAATCAATATTTTCCATTGCCTGCCCCATACAAACAGGCTTCTGTCGTAGCATGTTAGGAAAGGAAATGTAAATTTTCTGGAGAAGAAGACAGATCATGGCTTTCCTTGCACTTACATCCATTTGGTAGTGAAGTCATTAAAATTTGACACTGGTATATATAAGAACAGGGATGGAGAACCTGTGGCCTTCCAGATCTTCTTGGGTGACCATTTCCATCAACCCTAAGCATCATGGCCCATAGTAAGGGAGCTACGGGCCAACAAGACTTAAAGAGCCACAGTCTGTTCAGTCCTGGTTTAGAGCATGTTTTGGCCCCCTTTTACTCCTGATAAAAAAGTATCAAGACAATTGTGTTATTATAATTACCGGTGATGCTATTGGCCAAATGAAATTATGATGAAATGCCAACCAGCAGTGTAGATCACTGGTTCTTAACCTTGGGTTACTCAGGAGTTTTGGACTGCAATTCGCAGAAGCCTTCACCACCAACTGTGCTGGCTGGGGTTTCTGGGAGTTGCAGTTCAAAAACATCCGAGTAACAAAGGTTAAGAACCACTGGTGTAGATGACCACACACAACGAAACAGCCCAGGATTAGCTCTTGGCCTCCAGTGTGTAGAGTCAGGTTTTGATGTCTGTAGTGCTATTGGGATCCAGCTATAAAGCAAGCATTGTAGCACTACTTAGAGTGTGCTTTAGCATTTCCAAGTATTGACTTGCAAACACACATGAGCACACAGACACACAACTTCTCTCACACAGATTCTCATGAGCTGTTTAGCATTGTTTGGGCCAATGCTGAAATAAGCAGGAGCTATGAAGCTTTTGTAGGCCAGGATGGGGGTGCAGGACAAATGGTTTTATTTTAATTTCTGGATTCTGGTCAAGCTAAATAAGCTTAAATAAATATTTGCTTAATAAACATTAGCATTTTTAAAGTATCTTTAAAAAATTACGTCTAGTAAAAAGTTAAACAAGAATAAAGGATTCAGTGCCCAGAATCCTGTTCAATATTTATGGACATGTCTCTCCAGCTACAGAAGCAGCTGCTGTGAGCTGATGAAATGTTGGCTGAGTGGCTGGTAGCAAGGAATCAGAAACTCATCTGGTTGTTGTAACAGCTTCCACAGCTGGAGCTCCTCGTACATGTAAATACTGAACAGGATACTAACTTAAAATATTTAAGGCTTGGGGTCCTCTGTGTAAAAATAACAAGAAAATTTACCTTGATTTCACATACTAAACCCTTTCTTTCTCTTTTACCCTAAATTTGTTCATCATTCTTACTTTGCTTAAAGGTGCAGGGAAGCATATACAATATGTACTCCATTTCAGAGCTATCCTGTTTCAGTTTGGTCTGACAGTTCCTCACATTTGTGGTGTTACCCACAGCTTGAATAAAATGCAATAGTTTGTCCAATAAGTAAATGCATTTGCTGTTTTCTAGGATACACAACCTCTGTTAGTTCAGGTCCCTAAAAATTAGTTTCACAGCTTTTAAATTTTATATCAATAAGAAACAAGAAGCGCTGCACCACTTCTTGATCACTTCTGCTGCTTGTTAATCATGTGTGACACAGCATTTGCTATGTTTCTGAATTAGTTGTGTACAACAAATTTAATACATCATTCTAAATGTACAATCTAAACATTTATGTGCTATCTGATAGAGGCGGATGATATCAGGGCTGAAACAATCATGATCAGAACTCACCTTTCTGTATTACAGCTGAAATCTCTTCCACAAAGCACTTTCTGCATCTCACCTAAGACAAGTGATTTGTATCCTATGAGTGAACTAAATTGCAAAACATGTTCATTGCGGTTGTCCATTCCTGGTTATATACAAAACCACATGCTGTCTGTACACTAAAGCAGTTCTGAAGATAATGGGGCCATCCCAATTCCCTCCCCAAAAAGAATGATCATACAGACTAATTAAAAAATATTTATGCAAGGAAAGTTTTAGAGTAAGCTTGGTATGAATTATAATGCTTGATCCCTCCTGTTTGTCCTTGAGCCGCACTGAATAACAGTGTGGTGTGCACTTAATACAAATTTATTTTCTCATAATGACTCGCCTGCATCTTCTTTAACAAATGTATTTTAAATAACTTAAACTAGCATATGTATATTAGTAAAACCTGCATTTATAAGTAATATATTTTATTTTTACACACACACACACACACACACATATACAAATATATATAAAATCACTGACACATTCATATGTACGATCTCTTCCAACTGATCCACCTCTTACTTTTTCTGCTCAGTCCAGAAGTGGGATCCTATGGTTTAGTTTTTTATCCCCAGCTATAATGTGAACTAACATTGAACACGTGAATTAAGGTTGCAGTGTTGTAAATGTCCTTAACCCCACCACACTCACCAGTTGCCACTGGCAAGCACAGAAAGAAATCTAATCCAGGTATAATGAGCTTCACATTATAGCTGGGAGAAGTAAACCTACCATATCTGCTTTTCACAGAATCTTCCTAGAGAAAGAAGTATGTGGACAACCTATTATTTAAAGCTGCAGTCCTTAGAGAACCTCGCTCATGAGTAAGACCCATTCATTTTGGTAGAGTAGACGCCCTAATGTTTTTGGGATTGGGACCTCAGCTGTCCTTTAATATATGGGATGATGGTGAACTTGCATAAAAATAAATTGCTGTCATGTTTAGGACACCTTTGCTACAACTGGGTTCTAAAGGTACAGTTGAGCTGTAGCTTATTACAGTGCTGCATTATCCACAGAAAACTCTTATTTAATAATAGGACCACAAGCAAATATTTATGTAAATAGATATTTTTTCGTGTTGATATTTTGTGGTATACATATAGCTTTTTATTTAGAACTTCACTGCATTATTCATTCATTTTCTTATTTGTACGGTAATGTTTTTAGATCAACGTAGACTTGAATTAATGTCATATTTGTCAGTATTACTGAAACTTATGTCAACTGTACCGTTGTCCATCTGTCCCATAGTTTAGGACATCATCTGGTTATTTGGCATTGTTGCAAGTGCCTTAAATTCACGGCATCCTATTAAAAAAATACAAAATTTGGTGTTATGCTGCATGACAAAGACAAACACACCTCAAAATGTTGTCCTTTCTTAGCTTGCTGCGTTTTACAGTTCTTTCGGCTAACAGTTTATAAGCCTTTATTATATAATATTGATGAATTACAGAAATGATGAAGTCGTTCTCTTATTTCTGTTATAAATGTACCAGAGCTGTGTATCTGTTAATGAGATACAGCGTCATTTCTGTGAAATGTATAAATGTATGTGCAGGTCAAATTAATATATGACATACTATCAGTCTGTATACAGGTATTCCTGTTTTGCTAAGCTGTGCAAATTTTAAAACTGTAGTGCAGTAAAAGTTCTAACATAACACATTTTATAATAGATTCCATTGCAAAAATGTTCCAGACAGACCAAGGATTTGCATATTGACTGTACGACTGACATCAAACACAAACAATATTCTTCTCATTATGAAACCAATGACTGCAAAAGGGGTGATTCTTGTTGCACCACTGAACAAAACAGGACCAGTGCTTTCTATGGGTGGGATGTGGATTTACTTACTCTTACAGTAGACCCACTGAACTAAGTGGAACTTAGATGTAAGTCCCATTAATTCAGTGGATCTACTGAAAGTATAACTAAATCTGGATCCAACTCTATTCATTCTTGTATATGCAAACTGTTTCTGAGACAAACTCTCAGTAGTATATCTGGAAAGCAAAACACTGAAAATGTGTTCTTAGTCCTTTTCCTCTGCAAACAGTCCACTCCACAGTACTGAGACACTGATGTTTCAGACTTTAATAGCAAAGGGAACTCAGTTTAAAGTTGCCTACTAGCGTACATATTTCAACATATGCTGTTTTTACACTGGTGGTTTCCTTTATAATATTACTGGCTCTTTTTTCCTTTGGCTTTCTTCTTACTGAAGATTCTACATAAAAGAGAAGAATTTAATTTTATTTGTCCAAGGTACACTTTCATCAAATGGTCATTGACCAGTTGCACTCTTTTGATGTAGACTGAAGAAAAAAAACCTTTTTATCATAAAATTAACTGCTTTTGTTTTGCTCTGTATTTTCCCTGCAGCTGTAATTGCCGAGTGCCTGTTGTATACTTTATAGAGTTGAAATTAAAAAATTACTTTTGAATGTTGCTGCTTTATGTCACATTTCTGGCTTCTGGATCATTATCATTGAAATGGGAATCCCAGTATCCCTTTATTTTGTTCCCCATCACACACATACAGAGAGAGTAGTTGTATGCCAAAAGGTCAGTTTTGTCTCTTGGTTTAGAGGCAGTTATCCATCTGTAAATCTATTTATTTATTTATTCCATTTACACCCCGCCTATCTGGCCATTGCAACCACTCTAGGCGGTGGCTTACAACACAAAATACAAGAAAAATATAAGGAATTTTTACACAATTAGAGAATTCTACAAGATAGAGAGCAAACAAAATAAATCATAATAGAGAAAGAAGGGAAGGAAGTCAGGAATTAACTGGGGGGAAGGCCACATTTTTAGTTGGTTTTTAAAAATACCCAGCAAGGGAGCTGCACGAATCTCTGGAGGCAGACTGTTCCAGAGGCGAGGAGCCACCACTGAGAAGACCTGGTTTCTGGGTTTTTTCTTCTGGGCCTCCCTCGGCGTCA